CAAAATAATTTGTAAATATCTGATATATATACAATAAAGACAAGCCATGCTGACCTGACTGCGGGTTAAAAAAAAAATAAAATAAAAATAATTTAAATAAAAATCTTTTAAAATTGTTTTATTTGTTTCTTTTATTTCTTTTTTTAATATACAGTATTAATTTAGTAATTTATCATTTTTAAGAATAATTTATAGTAATAAATTATTGACAATAAATCTTGATTAATAGAAATCTAATATCAATCTATTAGTAAAATGAAATATTATTTCTTAAATTTGATTTGAAATATTTAATTTAAACTTTGTTTTGTTTAATTCAAATTAGCTCAATAAACCTCTCATATTTTTTAAGTAATACAATTCTTTAATTAATAATCTTATACATTGTATAATATTAAGTTAGCTATTATATAATAGTCTGCATAATATTGTAGATATTTATTAATATCTCAATAAAGACATCTTTTTGTGAAAATTTTAAAAAATAAAAAAATAATTATATACTGTATACTTTATATCGTTAAAATCCATTTTAATGATTCGACAAAACATGCAGTAATTTATACAATAAACATTGATTTATAATTTGATTTTCTATTTTTTGACTTTGAAATCAACAATTTGCGAAACATCATAGATTCGATGTCAACACGATAATACTGGAGGATCGACCAAATATTAATAAATGAATCAATAAAAATTTTTTCGTATAAAAAAAATATCTTTATTTTTGTATATTTGCATAAATTTCTGATTTTTTATAAAATCGCGCATCAATTGTGGTGCCTACTGCAGGCTGGATACGTTTACCGTTTTAAATGTATCCATGAATTTTCAACCAATTTCTCACGTCCTCCTCATCTCGCGTCAACCAAGCCGCATTGACGCGAATATTTTCCAAGCTTTGTTTTAACGGTCTTTCAAATTCCTTTGTATTCTTGTCTTTGAAGAAATTTTCAATATCACGAATATCATCCTCGGATGAAAATGACTCGGTTGAATATTTGACGACATTTCCGAAAAGAACCAAAGACTTGAAGTACCGTTCATGAATCTGTAAAAATATGCATGAATGAGTATATCTTAAGTAGACCTAAATAACAATAGATGCGATATGAATTGTGCGTACCAATTCCCAATTTTGTTTCATGAAATTCCACAAAGGTCTACGCGATTTACGATTGGATTGCAACCTAAGGGTATGCGAGAAAGATTGTAAAAATTAAAAATGAAAAAAATGAAAAAATGAAAATTTCATTCCATTAACCAGAGTCATGAGATATTAGAATGCATACCCCGCCAAAGCATAAATAATATCTTGATTCTTTACTTCATCGGATATTGCAAATTGCAAAAATCTTTGAATAAGGTTTTCTTGTTGTGCAAAACCTAGCGCAGTCAGAGCAACAATTTTTTGATCCGCTGTCCCGGCTTTCTTATAAACATCCAGGATAGCATTGAATTCTTTTTCTCCACCTTGGGTTAGCACTATCTCATAAACCGCGCCTCGAATGTTTGGATGAAAAGCGGTTTCATCATTTTCGTACATAAATAGGTTAAAACGGCGACGTGCCTCTTCAACGACACTATTGGAGAAATAAGAATTATCCATCTAAGAATTGTAAGGTAAACAGAAAAAAGTATTAACGTACACTGGATCTCCGGCTCTACCAGCTAATTTAATGACCAAGGTTCTTAACATCGTGGTTAAGTAATCATCACTATCGGAATATTCCCAGCCCAACTTGCGGACTAATCCGGACACCAAGTGACGTTGAAATGCAAGAAGACCTTGATATATGGGCTCAGGTTGTTCGAACCAAGTAGTCAATAAATCGGTCAAACGAGAATTAATCTCCATCCATACACTGAGAAACGAAAATAATTTTAATAACATATTAATAGTTCATCAAAAGATATGGCATACGAGATTACTTACATGTACTTTTCTTCACCTTCAAACTCATTTATAAGGCTCAACATACCGCTGGTCTTTCCATGCCCACTTCTGGACAAAGCGCCAGCATCAGCGATTAATCCGACACGATCACTAGTTTCAAGGAGATTTTTCTTAACAGCCTGACCTAACTTGGCCAGACGCTCGGGAGAATAGTTTACTCTAAAAACCCCGGTTTTTCGTGCATTGAGTTGATAGAAATCTTCTACACGATTCGGTAACTTTATAATTTTCGACTTTTCTGAAAGAATAGCATTTCCTACATCACTTTTAATATTAGGTCCGAGATCTACGCCAAGAGGAATCCACCAAGTTGTAGTATCTTCATTCGAATCCATAACACCCGATGAAAGGAAACGGGATTGACGAATATCTAAAGTATCAGAATCCGCTTCCGTAACATTTAAAACCGGGTACTAACAATACCCATTAAAAATGTTAGCATATTTAAAAAATAATAAAATATGCTAGTAATAAATTTTACATACTCCGACAACTCTAGTCCAAACAGACATAAATTCACCAACATTTATTCCACTTTCTTCGGCCAGCGCCTTCCATAAATCATCTGTGCTGGCATTGCCATATTCATGACGTTTAAGATATCTCCTCACACCAGACAAGAAAACATCTTCACCAAGATAGTTGCTTAACATCCGTATAACAGAAGCACCCTTATAATAGCTGATGGCATCAAAAATCTGATGGATTTCGCTTTTTGAAAATATTTAAATGTAAAAAAAACGTAGATATAAAAAGTAAAAACGCAGCATGAATCGATAGGTGAAGAGAATAAGAACCTTGGATCTTTAACAGGCACTTCGATAGGATGGGACGATTTCAACGCATCAAGCTGAAGTCCTCGCTGTAGACCCTCTGTAACAAATCTACGTTGGGGAGATTTTAAGGAATGTTATTTACGTTTTTTTTTTTTTTTTTACAATTACAAGCCATCTAACATACTGAGTCCAAATATCCCATTCGGGGAAAATCTTGTCGATCGCCAAATATCCGACCCAAGTAGCAAAACCTTCATTAAGCCACAAGTGGTCCCACCTAAATTTTCAAGGATTCTTGTATTATAAAAATTCGCGGTGTTCACTTGATCCGTTAAGTTGAGCCAAACACCTACCATTCCATAGTTACAAGATTTCCAAACCACTGTAACAATGTAATAATACTAAATAAGATTATACAAAATCTATCAAGATTCTAGAATGGCTATTTACCTGATGTGCTAGTTCGTGGGACACGGTGTATGCAATGCGTTGTTTAAATCTAGCGTCAGAATCTTTAGGGTTAAATAAAATTGCTGTAGTGCGATAAGTTATAAGACCCCAGTTTTCCATAGCCCCTATAATAAAGGTTGTTCGTAGGTTAATGCGAAATGTGGTTATTAGAAGAAATAAATTTCAAGAATTACCGGCTTCAAAATCGGGAACAGCAACCATGTCACACTTTGGAAGTGGATAGGGAATTCCGAAGACTATCGAATTAAATAAGATGATTGGTCAAAAAGGAAAAATGGAGTCACAAGCATTAATAAAACTAGACAAACCTCCAGCAAAGTACTCCAGCACATCTGCGGCAACTTTTAAGGAGAATTCTCCATTTTTTTCATTACCCTTTGTCGCATAAACTCGAACTAGCACAGGTTTTCCTTCATTTAGAATCCCGGTGGTCGATGTTTCAACATACGCCAAATCACCAACAACAAATGCAACCAACTAAATATGAAACATTCGATCGTATTAGTTTAAACTTTTTTTTTTTTTTTTTTCCTCAAGAAATAAAAGTGACTTACATAGGTACTCATCATAGGTGTTGTAGCAAATTTGACTTCTTTTTTTCCATTGTCCAGAGGCTTTTCGGATATTACGTTCATATTACTCAACGCAACCAATTCTGATGGTACAATTAATGTAATATCAAAGGTAGCCTTGATTGCTGGTTCATCCCAGCAAGGGAACGCGCGCCGGGCGTCGGTGGCTTCAAATTGAGTCGATGCCATATATCTGTTCATAGATAATCAAAACATAGCTCTTTAAAAAAATTTTTTTTCCTTTTTTTTTTTTTTTTTCTTAACGATAATAACTATGATGCGAACTTTGTTTGTTTAAGTTCATCTTTGTAGGAGCTCCGATAAAAGCCAACCATTTTATCATTTAGGGAACCAGCAAATACTAGGTGTAGAGCGGCCGTACAACCGGCAGGTAGTTCATCGGGAAAACTCAGAGTCACCGTTTGCTTTTGTTCATCATGAGTAATGTCCACAGCACTAAAGCTATTGAAAATTCTATTTAGTAAATGTAACGATAAGTTTCGCGCAAAGGATTATGAAGGATCTAAATACCTGTAGCTAGTTTTTAAATTCAGACTCACCAATTTTGCAGATCTGACTTCGACCTCATTAGCGTTAAGGGTTATAACTTTTGTATTCTCATTAATATTTAAACTAATCAAAGAGGGCGCGTTAAATTTGTGTTTGTTCAATTTATCTTTTCCAATCTGAATAACTTACTTGACGACTTCGGTCCCAGTAAAAGTAAAGTCATTTAAGTCCGGGATCAAAACCAAGTTATAGTGAGTCGGCCTCACATTCGTAGGTAATACCTGACGTTTCTCCACGGAAGCCATTCCAGAGAAATGAATTTGCGAAAATAAATATGCAATTAGAACGGCGACTATAGAAAAGAAAAGTAAACTCCGGCGGAGAAAATTTTCGTTCTTGTTTTGTCTCAAGGACGTTGGAGGCGACGTATTCTTGGAGGATGCCAGCTTAAGTACTTTTTTTTTAGAAATTTTTTGTGAACCTTCTCAGATAATAAATCACATGAACGTGTGAAGGATCTTTCTCAGATAAGATTTTGTGTTTCATAGTTTACCCTGCTAATATAGAAATAATGAGAAGATTTAATTCAGTAATATAGAAATAATGAGATATAGAAATAATGAGAACAAACATTTGACTTTATAGTTTCTTTTCAATTGAAAATAGTGTAATTAATTTTAATATAGTGTAAACTTTATGTAATAATCCATGAGTATAAATTTATTACAGAATAGAGTCGGGTTATCGTTAATATTAAATTTATAATATTTAATAAATTTATTAATAGATATTCTAAATAAATTTTAAAAAATAATATTTTATTTTCTTATATTAATGCTTTCAATTTGTTATTATAGATTATTTTAAAAAAAATAAATAAATTAATATATTAAGAAATAAAAAAAAAATTCAAATTAACAAAAATAAATCTATTTGATTAAAATATATATTTTCTATTTTCAAAATTAATATTATATTACAAGAAAGTTGGTTTAATCAAAATAAAAAAAAGTCTTTTTAAAAACTTATCTAATTGAAATTAAATAAAAATTAAAAATTAATAAGTTATATATCTTTTTACTTATTTTTTAATATTATAGATATTTTTTAAAAAATTTATTCTATTAGAAAAAAATTTTTTATAATCAATAATATTACTGAATATATATTAATTAATATAAAATTGTTTATATTTTAAAAATTAATATATTTTATATATGGATTAATTTTATAGAAAACTATAAAAATAAACTTTTTTAAATCTTGATAATTTTTTGTTTTATAATTTTTAATATTTATTAATTTATTTATAAAAAAGTTATTTATATAAAGTCCGCTTAATTTAATTATAAAGTTTTAATGATATTTTAAAATAATTTAAAAAATATTTTTAAGAATTGATGTTATTATTATTTTTTAATCAAAAATTAATTTCTATTAATTTAAAAAAAGATTTAATAACACTTTTATTATCAATAGTATTAAATTTTTAGAAGTACTATGGTTAATCAAAGATTTTAATATTTTTTATTATTAACTGGGCAAGTTTTTATTAACAAATTCTTTATTTAAGCTAGTATCAAATTAAGTTTATAATTGAAAATAAGATATTTTTTTTTTATAGTTAGATTAAAAATCTTTTTCTATGCAATTTTTTTAATTTTTATAATTATTGAAAATGTTTCTTATATAATTTAACGATTCTAATTAATAGTGCAATACTTGGAAAGAAATAAAATATAGACATTGTTTTCAACTGATAATCTGATAATATACTGTATAAAGATGAGTTAATGGTTATGTAAAAAAGTGTCAACATAATATTATTCAATAAAGACTAGCAGATTAAATAATAATAAAAATAACTTTAATAATAATTCAATAATTTGTAAATATCGAAATATAATCTTTTTTAATAAAGATCAGTTTCAATATAATGTGAGGCAACATTAAAGAATAATTTATTCAATATACAGTACAAATTTTTTTCGTTGTTAGCTAAACAAACATATTACGTAGTTCAAGTGTATACAGTATATAGTTCACTGATCATCCGATACTGACTCGAATCGTTCACGCGCAATTACAACCAAAATGCCTGAACTTCCCGAGGTTCACCGTGCTGAAAGGGCGTGTAATCGTAACTTGGTTGGGAAAAAAATAATACAAATCGAAACTGTAAGTTAAATTCGATGATTCTTTCCTTTTAAACGCGAACGTGACCTTCGAAAATTGTACTTCTTTTATCAAGAGGATAACTTGGTATTCTGCGACGTTACGAACAAAGAATTTGAAGAAAGGGTATTAAACAAAACAGTGGTAGATACCGGTCGGTGGGGAAAGTATTTCTACTTAGGTGGGTCGAATGCGTCGTACTTCTTCTATGAAGACAGGGGTAGTGTGTAATTGATTTTTTTTTTTTTTTTCCGCGCGTTACTGAAAAACAGTTTTGAATGAAAAGCCGCAGGTTGTTATCCATTTTGGCATGGCCGGTGATATTCGTGTATGTATGCAACAAATTGCAATCGCAAAACCGACACACTGATATAATTGCACGAAGACATTTACGATGCGTAATGCTTGAAAGTTTAAAGGTCAAGGAATATTCTCATACCGTAGGCCGTCTAAGGATGACCCTGAAGAATGGCCTCCACGTTTTTGGAAATTCACGATTACTCTTGAGGACACCAATGATCATTCTTCCCCCAGAGTAACCATGGGATTTACCGACAAACGCAGATTGGCGAGAGTGCGCCTCGTCAACTCGGCTTTAACGGATCCACCAATCTCTGAACTTGGCTTTGATCCATTGAAGAACATGCCGAAATTGCAAGATTTCAGCGAATTGATCCTGAAACGTCGTTGTCCTGTTAAGGCGTTGCTGTTAGATCAGTCATTTTCTGCAGGCGTCGGAAATTGGATCGCAGATGAAGTATTATATCAATCAAGGATACACCCTAATCAGTATGCAAATACGCTTAGCAAGGAGCAAATCAACATGTTACACGATAAATTAGTTTATGTTTGTCAGACAGCCGTGGATGTTAACGCGGAAGCGAGTTTATTTCCAGATTCTTGGTTGTTCCATTATAGGTGGGGTAAAGGAAATAAAAATGGTACATTCATGCCTAATGGCGAGCAGATAATATTTGAAACTGTGGGTGGTAGAACTTCGGCTATTGTGCCGAGTGTTCAAATACTAGTGCAGGAGAATGCTGGCAGTTCCAGCACGTCCGGACGTTCGGTCAGCATAAATCGTTTCGCACCATGTTTCCTTAGTTTCCGACTCTCATTCCGTGTAAATAACATTTATAGGTTAAAAAGGCGGAACTTCAAAAGAGAAATGTCACGGCCGGAGAAGTCTCCGAAAATTTTTCATCCAAACGGCGGCGTCAATCCAAAAAAGTAACGGACGAACCATCCGATATTAATGATGATGTTGATGATGGTGATGACGCAGTTGATCAGAAAGGTTCGGTCAAAATAACCAGGAGAAAACGGTTGAGCAAAAGAAAAATTGAAAAATCAAAAGCCGATGAACAGGAAGCAGCGTCTCTTCCAACCTCCACAAATCGTTTCGAGAGATTTAGGTCACGGAAAAGCACGAGCTCACGAGCGACTTGAGCATCCATTATTGTTGTTAGTAATTCGTCATTTTACCAATAACCATTTTAATCTACTCGGTACAACCCCGAAAAATTTTTTGGAATTAATAAAACCTTATTCACCACAATCATTCAAACACGACAACCACCGCAAACCAAAAAAAACCGATTAAGACAAATATTATATTAAAATTCTAAACCTACTAACCTAAGTACAAAATGATGGTGATGCTGAACAGTAATCAAAATTCGATTTCTAAGGTTCCACAGTAGACAGGAATTATTGTTTTGTTTTGTTTTTTGTTTTTTTTAGAAAAAAAAAAAAAGTCATCTAACGATAAAGACTCGGGTAAAACTCGTAAGCTATACATACACAAAACTCGACATTGAGATTTTTCTATAATGTCTTAATTATGGTCGTTAATTTTGAGGGACTTCGAAAAAAAAAAAAAAAAAAAGAGAAAAAACCGAGTTTGATTTTTTTTTTTTTTTTTTTTTTTTTTTTTTTTTTTATAGGGATTAAAAGGTAAAGAATAAAGAATGGAAATTTAAAAATACGGTACATTTACATACCATAGAAGAGGAAGAATAGATATACGAATAAATATATGCATCCATTTTGTGATAACCAACAATTCCTACAGTCCTTCGTCTTTTCACATTCATTATCATTATTCTGCTTTTTTTTTATTCTTCCGGTTAACGTGAAGATCACTCCGTTAAGACAACATGTATACCATGTTTCTCTAATAGGTCTACTAAATCTCGGTCTTGCATGAGACCGACCTGCTCCTGTGATTGGCGAATTGTCATTGTCATTAGTCGATCGAAATGTCGCATCGCATTCTACGAACAAAGCAAACAAACCTCAGGTGTGAATTTAACGATTCCATTAATAGGAGCGCCATAATTTTCCAAATAAAATCTTAAAAGATCAGTATCACCATAACGAATATTCTGCATTATCAACATCCTATAGGTTTTTTTCTGTCGTACATCGGAAAGGTGCCATTCGTTCCGACGTCCATTACTGTGAGAATTGGAAGACATGTCATTCCCTCTACCAGGACGATTCGCAAACTTGGCATTCATCCTTGCTGCATACTTTTCGAGAAATTGTAATTTTGGGTTGGGGTTGGATATTGGTTCGGAACCGTGAAATTGTGATGTCCCGCGCTTATAATAGGACATGCTCTGATGTGATTGAAGATAATGTGCGTCCAAATTTTCATCAGAATATGTCACAGTGGTGATACAATTTGGGGGGGGATCCAGGTTAGGTGCTTTGTCAAGCGAATACAAAACAGACCAGTACGTGGGCCACCGTGAGTTCGCCTGACGGGTTATGTTTATATTTCTGGAATTGGAATTTCCTGGACTTTCATTCGCATCAACAAAAAATTCGTCCATTATGCGATCGAGCAGTCTTGGGGCTCGGTATTGTAAGTGCGCTCCATAAGCAAAAAGGATTAATGAACCAGAACGTACTGAGCGACCGTATACATGCCGAAGGAACAAAATGAGTTCCCTTTGAAAATGTGCGTTCATTGTTTTACAAGTACGCGAAAGATACGAATATTCTGGTAAAGTTAAATGGAATGCAATCCTCGTAATGATTTCAGAGGGAAGGAAGAGGATATTAGCTTTTGACCCGGACACCGAGTTTATTGGCGCTACAGTATTCGCTCTTTGCATTTGTGTTGACATCGTTTCGGTTGTTATCGAAGCTAACGTTGCGTCTTGATTGGTATTGTGTAGTGCACGCGAGACTACTCCTTGGCGTCTTCTACAACGGGTCTTAACAGAAGATTCGACTTTCATTTGTTGACAACGAGTGTAAATTTAGGAGTAGTGATGATGGATAGAGGTCGATCTTAAATATCCAACTGTTATTTAACTCTTGTTAATATTGTTTAATTAAATTTAAATTTTTCTTAAGAGATTCAATATTAATAGTGAATTAAATTTAT